TATGTTATTAAAGTTTAATTTAATTTAATTAAAAGATAATGTTTAATTTAGTTAATTTAATTATAGAGTTTATTTTAATTACTTTATTTTATATTATAATAATAAAGGTTTGTTATTTAATTTTTCAAAAGCAATAATAAATTTAATGGAAATATTTTTTAAAAAAGAATATATTGTATATATTGAAATTATTATTGTGTTTATTATGTTTAATACTTAAAGATAAATAATTTACTGCATTATTTTAATATAAAATAATTTAATTAATTAATTAATTAATTAATAATAATAATATTATTATTATAGGTTAGTTAATAATTTGAATTTTTTTAAAATTAGAAACATACCTATAGCTCTATTGGTTTATATGTGTATTAAACAAACTTGTGAATTTTTATTATTTGATATTAAAAATCTATCATTAAGTACAAATTTTATTAACAAAATTTCTGAAAATAATCAAATATTGAAGAACATAAACAATTATTTAGCAAAGTATTTCAATTATTATATACCAAATATATCAATTATATTGATTAACAAGATGCATTAAAATTATTTAATGTTATATGTTTTGATGATGATTTTGAAAATTGAAATCAAACAGACTCATATAGACTTACATGGGATTTAAAACACTATTAAAAATGATGATGGATTATAACTCACATATTAAATTTATATAAAACTGAGAATCAAGAATCAAATCAAATCAAATCATTAGGATTCTTAGTTTTTACCCAAAACATATTCAACTTTCTTCAGAATGACATAATATTTCAAGATATTCAGAAATTATGAAATTTAAAAATCAACAAATCAAATAATAGCATAATGGGAAATTTATTGTACTTTGAATGATATTTTGATGAAAAGTTGGATTTAATAAGTTTTGGCATGAAAAAATACATATCTTACCAATTCTATCAAAAATTAAACTTGTTTATATTTGGCTTCCAGTATCAGAGGTAGATGTTGAATGGTGTTTTTCAGATTACAAAAATATTTTAAGTGATCAACGACATGTACTTTCTAAAACCTCATTAGTGATGTTAAATTTTTCGTATTTTAACAAATAGCATTAATAGTTAGATGGTTTATTTTTGTTATTAAATATAACTGTATATAGGTTTTTTCATATCAAATTGGGATTTAGAGATGATTTTACCGAAATTGAAATTTCCCGATAAAAGTTTATATTATAATTTGGTACAATTTTTCGTACAGTTTTTCTTTTTTATGTTTCGATATATAAATTTAGATTGATAATAGCCTGGCTCTAAGCCCCAATTTGATGTGAAAGAATCTACTGTATATACTGTAAAAATAAATAAATAAATCTATATCTTATCGATTATATTTTATCCGTAGTATATTTTCCGCATAATACATAATTCATCCGCATTATTTACTAAATCTGGATTCTATCAACGAAGAAGTTACAACAGATCCACTCCAAATTTACCCATTGGTGACATCGGGTTACCTAATTCAGTGCCAGCATTCTTGCTTGTCACGCAATTACAAAATTCATTGTTTCCGAGATAATAATATATATTGCTATCAAGAGAAGAAGAAAAAGAAAAAAATATGGGAAATACTCTCGCTGCTGCACGCGCTGAAGTGGAACAGGCTGAAGAAAAAGAAAAGCAGAAGAGTCTCCAGGCGCTGGATTTTATGGAGAAAATGCTCAAAGCAAAGATGGATAGCTTTTCTGACACTCTCAAGCATCCGCCCGATGATTCCCATCTAGTGAATCTAGGGACCATTGTCGACCAGGTTGTTGACTATACTATCAACATCCAAAAGGACAAAGGCAAGGCTGTTGAGGTAAGCCCATTCATTAGCAGTTGATGAATTCACACAACACATGTTTTATTTCTTAATTCTTTGCTTCTTGCGGTTTGTTTTAGGCTGTTGGTTTGGCGGTCGATAAATTCTTCGATGTAGATGTTCTTGGCGGTTTCAAAGCTATAATCCAGGGATCGGTAGATGCTTTTATTAGCGATACAACTGTCGGGGAGAAGTATCATCAAGAATACCACTTAGTAATCGATAATAATGCACTTGTCAGGGTAGACAGCATGCTCTATAAGTACAACTTCGAAACAAACGGTATCGTTCATATGGTTGACAACGCATTTTGTTACATGTTCTACAAGAGTGTAATCCCGCTGAAGGAAGTGAAGCAAGATGTAGTAATTTATTCGGTCACGAACTATGTTAAACGTGGCCTCAAAGAAGCCAAGATTGACGCGGCCGATCGTAACAAATATGTTCTTGAATACATACAATCATTGAAGTCACTTTACAAGGCATTAGAATAGTAATATATATATATATACAGTATATAGTGAAATTCGATATAGTGGATATTAAATATAACAGAAATCGACCCCACAGGGGTCGTTATAATACTAAAGCGCGTTTTTTTTTTAGATTTTAATTTTTTTTCCCGGGTTTTGATTTTTTCTTCTTTTTTTCATATTTCAATATTATTTTTTTTTTCATATTTGATTTTTTTTTTTGATTTTTTTTTCCGGTTTTTTGTTTTATTCTTTCGGGTTTGATTTTTTGTTTCGGATTTCGGATTTTTCTTTCAGATTTCGTGTTTGTTTTTGGGGGGGTTTTTTTTTCCCGGGTTTTGGTTTATTTTCTCCCGGATTTTATTTTTTTTTCAGATTTGAGTTTTTTTCAGATTTGGATTTATTTTCTCCCGGGTTTTATTTTTTGCCTTCAAATTTGAGTTTATTCGCTCCCGGGTTTTGTTTTTTTTTTAAAAAATTTGAGTATTAGTTTTTTTTTTGTTTTTTTCTATTTTTTTTATAGTTTTTCGGGTGGTTTTTCCGGGATTTTTTTTAAATTGTATTATTAAATAAATTATGTTTAAATAAATATTAAAAATATAAAAAAGTATAATTTAAATTAATTATGTTATTAAAGTTTAATTTAATTTAATTAAAAGATAATGTTTAATTTAGTTAATTTAATTATAGAGTTTATTTTA